GGTGTACTATTCCTTTAAGCCCAAAATTAAAAACATGGCTTTTAGACAAAACTCACATTGACATCCAGGAGAAGACATAGATGATGACATAAAATGATGTAATTAGAATGAAACAGTGATATTGAAAAAAAAAGGACCACTTACGTTTGTAAGAGTGACAAACAGTGTCAGCTTGGATGACACTGTAAAGCTCAATAAGTATTTTCCAGCCAATGATGGGATGCCTGTTACAAAACGTGACTAATCACAAGGACAGCTCTACAAATGTTCTAAATGTGAACACATCCCCACATTAAGAAGAGATGCTGTGAAAAAAAAAACGGCCAAAAAACTAGGCCTTATTTGTCCTGGTGTAAAATACTACGAGGTGTTACACTTTTTTCATAAGAAAATGTACACTCAAATTTTAAACCCAGTTGGGTAATGAAGTATGAATTTCCACAGCTGAGTTTTAGCAAATACACCAACAAAAAAACAGAATTCTAATGGGTGTGAATTTTAACACAAACAAAGATACTTGGTACAAGAACCAAATTTCCAGCTGGCATTAGTATGGCTTATGATCATAGGTTTTAACTTAGATTCTGAAACATCTCAGCAGCAGAAAGTTAAAGTTTGTGTCTGTGAGCCAGCATTAGACTCTGATGACCTCCAACCTGGTGGATATTGGATGACGAGGCTGATGCAAACAAAAGCAATGATCTCAGAGCTTTACCTTGCACCATGTGTTTTAAGCTTTCTCTCTCTGGTTTATCGGCATACCTTTTCTATGCTGTGCCAATGCTATATTGTGCACATATATCCAGAAATTACCACATTATTTGCATATTAGTGACACCGCATGCATTCTTAACTCACACCACTTCATCTTATCTGAACAGCTTTTTTTATTCCAGTGATCTTTTTTTCCACAACTTCTCCTTTCTGTTGTTGCATGAAAAATGATTATGCTATAGCATACTGCAGACAACAATAAAACAAAAGGATCATCATAAAACAATCCTGGCTGGCTGCTAATCATTGCTACGGGACTGTTCTTTTTTGAGAAATTGTTTAAGTTTTCATTTCAAAGTATGCCAGTCAGAAATCAGTTTCAATTGCTAGGCTAAAAAATCATAGGGTAAGTAGTAATATTAATAAATAAGAACAAGCTGATTGACAAAGAAAAATTACCATGTTTCTAGATTAAATTGTGTTTGTTTTCTTAAAATGCTGTGAGATTTACAAATCTTTTTACGATCAAATATATATATATAAAGCTGGAGATAGGCACCAGCACCCCACTCGGGATAAGCAAGTATATATGATTTCTGTGAATCTATTGGAGCCCAGCATTGGTGTGTGTCAAAAAAATAAAATGGAGTCTAATTATTGTGTCTAATTTTGCATGTGTGGCGTCTGCTTGCTGCCTCCTGTGGAGGCTGTCTTAATGTTCTTATCAATTACATTGTGTGCTTATTGGCTTTAAACTTGGGGGTAAGAGACCTAATAGTTATCAGTGTTGCTTGAGACCATAAGATCAAACAGTGACTTAAACTGGAGCGGATTGTAGAATGTGTGAAATGTTTTGCAGCATGAAATGGAAGAAAATCTATAATCTTAATGCATCCTGATTTGCTTTAGCAAGGAGGCAACATGTTTTCAAATGTTTACCCGAGAACCCGAAGCAAAACAAAAATATTTCAACTCTGAAATACATGTATTGTGTTCACCTTTTAATTTTGTAATTTAAAGTTAACTAATAACACATCAGGTTCTTGAAAAAAAATTTACTGCACTTTCAACATCTAAAATAACAGATAACTTTTCATACTAACCTGTGATGGAATCTAGGGAACCTTACAGCTTTGTAAAGACAGAAATAATGTCCTTTCCAGTCGCATAAAGCTTCCTCAACATACCTCTGAAAAAAACTGCACCAAGCCAGGCTTTAGGCAAATTGTTTCTGAAGGTTGGAAAGTAGAGGACCAAGAACTGAGCCCTGGGGTACACCCGTTTTGACTTTGAAAGGAAGTGATTTCTCAACATCATAACAACATGTTCGTGATTTACAAATGTGATGATCGAAACCACCATGAGAATGTTGGAGAAAATTTAAAACTGGCTTTATTGAGTTTCATTGTTGTGACCTAAGACACAACAACAAAAAAATGGAAAAAGCAGCATCTAAATATAGCAATTTTGATAGATACTGTTTTTTCTTTTTTCTTTTTTAGAAGTTATGAGAAACATTTCCCAAGCAGCCGAATTTGTTCCTTCTTGTGGGCTGCTGGCAGTGCACAGCGTCAAGCAATGATTGATTGAGAAGACTCTAGGCCCACCAGGATTTATTTCTATCATCTGATAGAAAGGAAATGCAAGTGTGGAAACAAAAAGTGGGATACGGTAAATATTTTAAAAACAAACCCTATAAAACTTTGGCATTCCCTGATCCGTGCTGGCCAGGCTTTGCTATTAACTCCAACCAACTCACAAACACATTTGGGCATTAGATATTCCCATCTAATTTTTATGCCTCAATTTCACTACATTACACAAGGGAATTTTGAACTGAAAATATTTCTGAACAGCAGGCTAATTCTTTCTGTAAAATGATCAGTGAAATTTGCAATAATTAACATAACAAAAAGTGGCTGTAACAGGCCGTTCTCTACGCCATAAATTGTATTTAAGGAATAAAGTTTTCTATTGTTTCACACCAGACATTTACCTAAAATTATTAAACAATGTTTAGTGAACCACAGATGTACAGGTGTAATGAATCAGTGTCCAATAAAGGCTGTCTAAACAGAGCAGGGATGTAATGGAGCTCTTATGAGAGCATGTGAGTAAGAGAAAGACACTGAGGCAGAAGAAGAGCAATGCAACTGGCCTACTTGCCACCAAGGGAGCGACTAAACAGCAGTCAGAAAGCTGCATTCACTGTGATACAAAAAGGTAGGGGCAGTCCCTGCACGCAGGGGGAAACACTTCACTATTTTATCACACGCAGAGAACAGAAGAGAGCAGAGGGTCACGGGGGGTCGGATGAACAGAGAGAATGATTGGATGATTTCAGCGTTTGGTTACTCTGATGTGTTTCTGCCGGCCACAGCTGCTTTCCGGCGCTGCGTTCACGGAGCCCAACGCGCTCCGGAGCGCACAACGCCGCCTCTGTTAAAGGCTCAGTGGGCCGTGACTGATCCGAGCTGATTAAAGCCACGCACACTAACACACGCACAAAGGGGGGGAAACACTCGCGGGGTTATGATACTGATGCCGAAGGACTGTCATTTAGATTTATAAAAACCAAGAGTGCTTTATATCCACCAGCGCGCTTACCCTTTTTTTCTGCTTCTTGCAGGGGGTGGCGGTGCTTCCCGACTGGTATTTAAACCATCTTAGGATATTTCATATTTCCCGGCTTTGATCACACTTATTTATGTAGGCTTAAGTCTCATAAAGAAGCACATATTTAAAAGTTGCTATAAAAGAAAGAAAAAAGTTTATTTTATCTAATTTATCCCTGAATGGGTTCAAATTAAGTGTGTCAGATTATTCTCATCCACCCCATTCGATCAGCTATATACAGGTGAAAGCTGACATTTGATTCATAATATTTTTAATAAATATTTATCTAAGAAGATGAAGGGACACAGTCTAAATTCCTCCTTGAGCTGGCACAGGAGCGCGTCGGTCCCAGAGTTGGCGCGTCTCAGATGGCACCAGTTAGAAGGCATCTGTCATTTGATGCTTCGGCAGTCAATTACTCATTATTGTCTCGTACGAGCAAATACATGATTGTATTGCTGAATATATATGTTTTTTGTTTGTTTTTTTTGTTTTATTTTGTTTCATTTGTTAGAAAATAAAACGATCAAGTCGTTCCTATTTTTTTCTCTGTGTAAAAATATATAGTAAACAAAAAAAACTGAAGAAAATAGCAGATATGGATAAAGTTAAGCAATTATAACTTTTTTAAATAAAGTGTTCCTCAGTATAGGAAAACAGCGCTACTTTAAGTTTAAATTGCTTTTTTCGCTTGGTAATGACATAAATTATACCAAAAATTATGCTTGTAGAATAAAGTAATTAAAGAAAACAATTAAATCGAGGTTTAAAGTTTCCCCTATAAAAGAAACAAATCTTACCTTTCCACAGGAGGAGAATTAAAACGATCTTCCAGAAGAAAGATCCCACCGGCGCGCCTGTTCCTCTCCCGGCCGTCTCCATACCTTCCTGTCGGTTAAACGCCAATGGGAATGTTCACAAAAAGGACAAACAGAGGTTCTTTTTTCTTCTTCTTCTTTTGTCCTCTTCTATTACTATTCTTGTGTGGTTCAAACCTTTAGATGTTTACGCATCTTTTTCATTGACAGTCTCATCATGACCCAACTGCGCTCTCCACCTCTGACCGACCTAAGAGAAAGCGCGCAGAGGAGGTATGAAAACTATAAATCCTTTCGGAGTTGGCAAACGAAGAGCCTCATAAAGGGAACCTCCAGTCTTCTATTTTATTCCACTTTTCCATAAGCAAAAGAAACAAAACAAAAAAACAACAACTTAAATGTCTGAAAACAGCTTTCTCCAATTGTCCAGGCTTTCCAACCGGTGCGCTCTTATACTTTCTGTATCCAAACGGGACGGTTTAAAGTCACTGACTGCATCGCACCTTTTTTCCCCTGCAAACTTTACAAACACCTCCGAGTTTTGAAAAAAGCAAACAAGTCCACGTCCGAAACGATTTGGAAACTACAACAGATCGTAAAACTCTGCCATTTGAAACCGAACGCGTCCAAGTCCAAACTGCGCTCCGTCCTCTCTCCTTGCATTCCCTCCTCCTCCTCCTGTCTATCCATTGACCGCAGCCCCGCGTGCCGTGAGTTACGCGTCTCGAAGCTGAACTTGAGAGAATGTGCGCACACTATGCACGAGCTGCAGGGAGGCGAGGGCAGGAGAAGAGTGGAGGACTGTCGCTTTCAGCAGCCGCTTGAAGAGGAGGAGGCTGAGGGGTTGGTGGGTTCCAACGGGCTGGGAAGTCTGCGGGAGGGTGGGATTTGGGAATGTGAGTGGCAGTCAGGAAACCAATGGAGTCTAAAGGATATTAGGGGATTTATTTATTTATTTTTTTCTTTTATTCCTTTGCTTCTTACGATGATGCACTTGTTATTATCTGCAGACAATTACTCATACAAGATGGGCATGATGGTGTCTACACTTTAAATTAAAAAGGAAGGTTGTGCAAATAAGAAACACCACATTTTTTCATAAAGAGAATTTCAAAAAGTTCCTATTTTAAGTTCACTGTAAGAAAACAAGGGCTACCTGTTTGCACTATACTTTAAGGCGAGTGTGAGCGCACGTTCATGTCTTGTTAAACCTCGTTCTGCATTATTCATCCCAGGACACGCGCTACACCTGTTCGCTCTGTAATCGATAGACACCAACTGCGTCCGCACACTCGCGCGTGCACCTGCACGTGGAGCCTCAGCGGCCGTGGAGGTGCGCGCGCGCGCGAAGGACCGATAGGAGCTATCGAGTGGGGGGAGGAAAGGGGAGAGGGTAGGAGGGCAGGAGGGAGTTGAACAAGTCAGAAGAGAGAGAACATTAAGGTCCTCTTTATTTCATAAAGCGACGCGCCTGCTTCTCTTTGTCAGCTAAATGTGTAAAAAGCTAAAGAGATGACATTGTGACTTACTGAATTGCAAATCAGGGATGGGAGGATTTCCGGAGATACAGGTGAGCCTGGATGCTTCTCTGACTCCAATTGATCAGAGGGACTAAGGAGGAGCGACAGCACCTCCTAGTGACAGCTTTACAGCAGATTGAACAACTTGGGGCCAATTTTCTAGAGAAAACCAGGTAGAAAACCATTGAAATTGTGTTTTGTTTCATAGATGTAAATAATTCTAGGAAATTGCTTCTTTAATACTTTATAAAGCCACTAAAGGTAATCCTCTACTGTAAATAATATTTATCATTTACTTGGATGATTTAACTGTGGCCTTCAGGTTGTCTGTAATATTTGATGTGTTCTCCCTTATCTTGCTTCTTAATAATTCTCTCTGGGCTTGAAGAAAACAGTTAACCAAATGCAGTTCTACTACGGGAACTAATGCAAGTAGTGGTAATTTAAGCTGGGCTGTTAGGAGCCAATTCCTGCTGGGAGATTAAATGTCATAATCCCATAGATTTGGGGTTTGGTTTTGTCTGAGTTCTGGTTCTGGAGTTTCAAATTTTGTTTTTTTATATTAATAATTTGTTCACCTCATGTCTCACCTGAATCTTCTTGCAGAATTTATAACTTTTGTAAGTTTATTTCGTTAAGAGTTTTATTCTTACTTCGCTCACAGTTTTATTTCATATTATTAGCCAAGTCACCTATTAAATATTCAAATGATTGCTCTAATCTATCTAAGCTATTATCTTTCCATCTCTTCAATCTGAATTCTTCTACTGCACAGTCATGACTCCTGTTCCTCTTGAGATTTTCCTCCATGTCAAGTTTTGGGCATTTTATTCATTAAATACAGCTAGTGTCACTCATCTGCCTGTCTGTCTAAATTGTAACACCAAATTAGTTCACAGCTGTTCTGACTCTATAAGCCATGGTGGACTAAAACCAGCATATGACTTGGCTGCCAAAATTATCTCTCTCTGTTGAAACTTCACACTTATACTGTTTGTCCCCTGTCCATGATAATCTATGATATGGATAAAAAAAAACAACAGAAAACAAATTTTCAATAAGACTTGGTTTCAATTAACAATATTAGTCTTGCTTAGTGCTTGTTTTCTACTTAGCCCAGATTAACTGCTGACATCTATAGTACGTGAGTTTCTTGGTCCAAAGAATGCAACATTTGTGGCCCTTATCCTTCCACTCAGCTCTCCACTGAACAGCATTCTAAACAGCCAAGTTGTTTTGCCAGGAGCTTTACAGGTTTGGAGCTCATCTATGATTATCTTCTGCATAACCAGTAAACGGCTACCTTCATAGTTTGGGAGAATATAGCACTATTCCACCGTGGATTGTTCTGTTCTGCTTCATTGCTACAGTCAGTCAGACACAGTATTGATGTGTCAATCCTTTAAAAAAGCAGACTGTTGTTGAAGGACCAAGGAAGAGACAAAACACATGATTGGTGGTCCCAAGTGTTTGTGGACACTAGCGTAATGTCATTAATTATCCGATATATCTGATTGTCATTATGGAGGATTTCGGCTCATTGCTTCTAATCAAACTTTGATGTTCCCAAATTTTTCTTCTCGACCTTCTTTCTGCACTTTTCACTGTGATTCCATCAGGCGGGCATCACGCTTCGTTTCATTGCTCTCTCACTTTTCCCCAAACACATTTTTCTCCCCTCCCACTCAGACACCAACTACTTCTCTGCAAGTAGGGAACCAGCATCCATCCAACTACATAAGTGCATTTTACTCTAATATATTATTTCTTTTCCACTCTGTGACTTCCCTTTCAACAAGCTAGACATTTGCCACGATTTAAACGTGAAAGATCTATTTTTAACTGATCTATTCCTCTTGGGCCACAGCGGAGGGAGCGCATTAGTTCAGCAAGCATCCAGTAAAGAGTAATGTTTGTACAAATAACATGTCTGTATACCAAGATACCAAGCCTGAAGGGGATGGGGGGTATTTGAGATGGTATGAAGAGAACTGCATATATTTCTTGTGAAATGAGAACATTATCAAAAAGCCTTGCAAAAGATTTCATTCTCCTTCAGCGTTTTTTCACAGTTTTTCATTTTATTACTGGAAGTTTTGTGCTGAGATTTGGTGTAAGATATCAACAAAGTAGTGCATGATAGTGGGGGTTGAAAAAAAAAGAGGGTTCATTGTTTTTTTTTTCTTTTACAAATAATCTAAAAAGTGATGAAAACATTTTATATATATATATATATATAATATTCAGCCTCAAATTCCTTCAGAAGCGCTCCTTTATTTATTAATTCCACCTGGAGGGATAGGTCACTAAACAATATCCCAATCTTCTAGCATCTGCTGTGTCAATATACTGTTTCCTACCAGTTTATGATACAGTAGAGAACAGCAGCAAACTTAACATGTCCAGCGGCCTAATCCGACAGGCCGGGAAATGATTGCATTACTCAGAGGTAAAGCCAAGAGATCAGTGGTAACTAAGAATTTATTACAGCTCATCTCTTAGCTAATCAATCCACAAATGTGAACTTAAAAATAAAATCACTTTAAGAAAATTGCAAGATGTTATGTTTTCCACATGCAACAAGTCATGTGGGGGACACAGCTACAAAAAGGTGAGAAAAAAAACTTTTCGGCCTACTCACAAAATGCTGGGTATGGCATAGAAGTATTAGCATTAACACACACTGTTTACAAAATGACAGAGGAAATTGGAAGCATAATGCAGAGGGGAGTCTGAGCAGAAAAGCAGGTCAGGGTTAATGTGAAGATGGATAGAGCTGCACTAAATGTAAGGCTATTCTATAAAATTTTGTTTTAGGCCCAGCAAGACTACAGCAGCCTTAAACATACCATGAAGCCCCTAAGGAGTTTTAAATCAACATGTATTTGGATTAGAAGTTAAGAAAAAGTTCTTCAATTTGGAATTGGTTATCTGTGGCAAATTACAAATACATGCTCTCTATCCAAACTAAGTCTGAACCGATTTGCAAAAATTAGGGGGGGAAGATATTTCAATCTTTAAATGTGGAAAACCTGTTCAGAAATAACTGAAATGACATGTTACTGTACTAGGGCTGCAACTAACAATTATTTTACAAATCAATTAATCAGTTGATTATTTTCTCAATTAATCAATTAGTAATCAGATAGCAAAAGAGACTTTTTTTTAAGTTAAACCAGGTGAAACTAAAACATTTCCGCTTGAAGAGTTCTGGATAGAGCATATTGACAGAGGAAAAAGTTGTTGTTTTTTTATCTTAAATGCAAAATGTTTAAATATTTTTACAATCTTGTTATAATTACTGCTCTAAACGAGTCGCTCTGTCAGCTAAAGGCATGTTTTACCGTCTCTATACTCCAGTTACCAATTCATCGATTTCTAAATTATTTGACGATTTCAATAATCGATCAATCACAATTAATCCAATTAATTATTTCAGCCCTAAACTGTACTCCACAAAAACCTGGAGAAAGTTTTGATTCAAGAAAGTATTGATTCAGGTAGTTAAAAAAAGGTAAGCCACACTTATCAGTTTTATTTGTAAAAATAATTGGATAAAATCCTTTAAATCTTAATGGTATTTCAGCCCAATTTTAAATTTGATTTTACACAATATTGCTTAAGGAAGACTAAATACAAATAAAATAAAATAAAAACACCTTTTAAACCAAATACCCTTTTACTTTATAGATAGATATTACTATGGGTTGGTAATTCACAAACTGTAACTAAATATAACTTGTATGAGAAAGTATTAAAATGTTGAAAGACTGGCTGTATACTGATGGCTAAAGCTTACTCATTTAGATTGTTAAACATTTTTCTCTGACTCCACCGATCTTCGAAATAAAAAAAGAGAATACTGAACTTTCCCACTGCTCTGCATTACAGCCATGAATTAACTGTCCAGTAGGTTGATGGCAGTTTCATGTTCCTTGTTAAAACAAAATTACTTGTCACAATTAGAGGAAGCCCGGAGGCAGCAAATATTCATTATATCAAAGGCAGGGAGACATTCATCATAAAGATTGGATTGTCAGTTTGGGGTGTAACTCCTCAGACAACTCTTAATAAATGTTATTTTGTAAATGAAGAAAAATGTGCTCCTAAAAAACTGATCTACAGCGTTTTACTTTTTTTTTTTTGGCTGTTGTTCTTTTTTTGCTGCCAGACTGACCACAGATAATGGCCTGCTCTACTTTTGAACTTCACTCAGGATAATTCCCAGGCAGGCAAACTAAAACTACAATATAGAAGTCCTACTTTTTTTGGGGAAACCTGCCAGA